GACGTGGCCTGTGACAAGCAGAACGGGATCAGGGAATATTTTGCCATGGGTCGACACTCGAACATCGATTGTTTCTATCTTTGTCAGACATACGCTAAAATTCCAAAACACCTGATACGCGACAACGCGAATCTCTTGATTCTGTTTAAACAAGATGGCACTAATCTAAAGCACATTTATAACGAGCACATGAACACGGATATGTCGTATGAGAATTTTTACGTCTTATGTCGCGCGTGTTGGAAACGCAAATATGGTTTCGTAGTCATCGATAAAGACAGCGCGTTAAAAAATGGTAGATACAGACGAGGATTTAATGATTTCGCCGTGGTGTAAAGCGATCAGTTGTGCTACGAGAATGGACGTTGACGCTGCGGCTGGTACGAATGTCGCTCGGCTGGAAAAAACGGCGCAAGAGATCGCGAAGACTCAGAAGTCTATACGTAAAAAGTACAGAGAGTTAAAGACCGATGAGATAGAAGAGGAGATCGCGCTGGAGAGACGACTCAAGCCGATCGTTCAGCCGTTGAAACGAATTGCCGAGAATACTACGCGAGACGAGGGAATCGACCCGATCGCGTTCGTCGGTGCTAAGAGAAAACGCGAAACCGATGACGATGAGCCATCGTCTAGATCGACGAGAAGACGCTTCTCGACGAGATCGCCCTTGATCGCGACGGTGAGTTCCGCGACTAGAAACGAATCGGAAGAATCAATCTCGAACGCGCAATGGGGACCGTTAGGTCGCAAATATATGGGCGCGCTTCTAAGCGGGGACAAACAGAGCGAGATCGATCACGTTTACGAAGTGTACTTCGATTTAGACGGCTCGATGCTTGGCGATAGGCGATTCGACGTGACCGCCGACGACAGCGTCATCGTGGACGACACGCGATATCCGGGTACCCCGGGCTTATACGAGTTAATCTTCAAGAGACTTCCCGACGACGCTGTGTACACGGAGAACGACAAGCAAACGTACAAGAGTATACTATTAACTACAAACGCCCATTGACGTGGCCACAATGCGCTTATGCCTATTCTAGGAAACAAAGGTTTCAAGTACAAACATATCATCGCGCCGCTATTACTCGATAAGGACAAAAGTGGCGCTGGTATTAGTAAAGCGAGAAAAAAAAGGATCAACTCTATTCCATCCGCTATGCGGGTGAGAAACAAAGGAATCGAGTACGTCCATTGGGACGATCCCAACGAACTAGTCGATCGTCTTCGATTGCTCGATGCCTCTAGACGAGCTGGCAACGACGCTCACGACAACGAGATTCTATCGATACTCGAGGAACTTCGCGAGATCGACGCGATCAAGTAAAACGTGGCGCGCGCTGGTGGCGACCGGTATTCCCGTTATGTTGGTGAACAAGTTCGGAAGACCGCTGGAGTCGTTCGGCGGAGGCGACAGGGCACGCTCGCGACCGTCGATCGATTCCTTACGTCGCTATATGCGTAATAACGCTCTCTGTCTAAGTGACGATTACTACGACGCTAGAGACAAAATTATACGGCGTTTAGCCACACCTAGAAACCGATACCGACGCCGCGAGTAAAAGTTACGTGGACAGCGCGTTTCGAGACGCGGAAGCGAAAATCTCCGAGACGAGCGAATTCTCGACAAGCACTCGAACTTTATTGTCGAAGATGAACGAGAACACGGTTAGATCGATCGGCGAATTGGAGGAATCTGACGCGCGTAGCCAGATTGTTTCTCAAATACGATATGCAGATCGCCGAGATTACGAGCAGATTATCGCGCGCGGTAGATTCATCACCCACAAGGGCATGATGTCCGTGAATAAATTCGGGAAATCTCT